TGGCAGTTGGACACCTCCCGAGGGGTCCCAGATTGGAGAGGGTGCAGGCCGGGCTGAGGGACCCCCCCCCCCCGCCCATGCACGAATTTTGTGCACCAGGCCACTAGTATAAATATAAATGTCACATCAAAACTAAACAATTTTATGGCAAAAATTTAATTTGTGCATTATTTTAAAATTTGGATCAAAATTCAATGAAAGTCCACTTAAAGAGCCAGATGAAAGAACGAAATAGCTGCAGTTCAGAAATAAGAAAGCTGGTCTGGCCGGTGTGATTCAGTGGTTGAGCATAGACCTATGAACCAGGAGGTCATGGTTCAATTCCTAGTCAGGGCACATGCCTGGGTTGCAGGTTTGATCCCAGTAGGGGACATGCAGGAGGCAGCCTATCAATGATCTTCTCTCATCATTGATGTTTCTATGTCTCCCTCTCCTTTTCTGAAATAAATAAAAATATTTTTAAAAAAGAAATATGAAACCTGAAGAAACAGAAATTAGAAACAAAGTTCAACCACCTGAATATGTGAGTCAAGAAAAAAAAAGAGTTAATATAATATAATATAATATAATCACATATATTATAATCAGAGATATCCTTTTAATCAAATAAATACACAGAATAACACAAATTTACAAACAGTATAATGAAAATAAAATTACAAGTGATACAAACCATTTTTCTGTTGAGTTTTGTCATTATATCTCGTGCAAGTGTAAAAAATGCCTAAAGATAAACCAAAAAAATGCATTATTATATATTTATAATATATTTTTAAATAGAAATGTAGAATATTTTTACTATTACATTATAAATATATTACTTTAAAGCTTTTAATTTAGAAAAGAATATAATTGTAATCATGACTATTATATCTTATTTTTCAATTACATTTTCCAGTGTTATCAAACTATCATTCATTCGTCAAATATTTTCTGCACATAATATCTGGCCAACTTCCCAAAATGACAGGTTTCAGTTATGCAGAGCGTCCTCAGTACACCCAGAGCACCTGGGGGGCAGAAGCTCTGTCTAAGCCACCCCTGCACACCCAGTGCGGGGCACGGGGCCTGATCTAGAAGATGCTGAATATCTGTTTCATCAGTGAATGAACAAATGTTTTACCCTGTAGCTCTAAAATATGTTTTTATAAAAATCTCTGTCTTTTATTGCCAATGTCCTCCTTCAAATCACTTTCCCTCTTATATAATCTTAAGGTATAAGATTCCAAAATCCTGACAGTGTCTACAGCTCAGTTAAACCCCTCACCATGGAAATCAGTTGAAATGCAGGTAGGACAACTCTGATTCATCCTAGTGACATTTTATGCCTAGTGTCTCGTGATCCAAACCAAACATTTTTTAACCCTCTCATCCCTACTTTGTTTCTAGGGAGCTAAGACTTAAAGCTTCTTCAGTTGTGTCTATGCTAACTCCACTGTTACGTCAGGCTCTTTGTTCCCAACTATGCTTGATGCCCCAAAAATATTTAGCAAAAGAACTATTTCCAATCAAGTCAAACAGAAACAATACGTAGCTATTACTATCACTCACTATCGGTGTCTCACTGTCACACTGGTCACCCGTAAGGCTAAATTTCTAAATAAACCCATCCTAGCGGTTATGAGGCTAACCAACCACACTAAGGTAAAGCTCTGGGAAATTGCTAACTTCTGCAGAATACCGGGCCAGATTAAGCAGCTGGGGAACTCCCAGCTCTACACTTCCATAGCTCAATGCTGTCTCTAAGCCACAGTTGTGATCAGGGCACAGGTACAAAGAGAGACCTCAGCCTACTTCCAGTAAGCCAGGGTACTGCGTTCATTCTGTGGGAGAAACCCTATGTAGGCCAACTCAGTGAGCAAGCTTTGCTCCTGCCTCCACCATTAGAGCAGACTTAAGAGGTTCCCCTCTTTGTGATGGAAGGAAATCCTTTTGTGGCAAGCGGAAGGAAGCATTTTTCTGCTTATCCATGCTGATCTAAATAAATCAGTAGAGAGTTCCTGTTTCCTAACACCCATTAGCCAACCTGAATATGAGTTTGTTATTTTTAAAAAAAGTTATGATCATTGTCCACTATCCAATAAAGTCATTTAAGCCTCAATTTTTAGCTATGATGATATGGCGAACAGTGAGTAGCCTAAGAAATTAAATATTTATGAAATCATCAGTATTATTAAGTGAATTACATATATTAAAACATATTACATGTAATATTTTCATGACCAGTTTTTAAAATGTTTTTATAAAGAAAATATTATCACCTGGGCTGGTGTTGCTCAATGGTTGGAGTGTCAGCCTGCGCACTGAATGGTCTCGGGTTCAATTCAAGGGCACGTACCTGGGTTGCAGGTTCGCTCCCTGGCCCCAGTCAGGGTATGTTTGGGAGGCAACCAATTGATGTGTCTCTCTCACATGGATGTTTCTCCCTCTCTCTCTCTCTCCCCTCCCCTTCCCTTCCATTATCTCTAAAAATCAATGACAAAATATCCTCGGGTGAGGATTAACAACAACAAAAAATATCAGAAATTCTTCCCTTGGTAAAGAAAATCTATTCTAGCCGAAACCGGTTTGGCTCAGTGGATAGAGCGTCGGCCTGCGGACTGAAAGGTCCCAGGTTCGATTCCGGTCAAGACAACAAAAAATATCAAAAGATACAAAAAAAAAAAAGAAAATCTATTCTTAGAAGACTTTAGATGGCTAGATTTTCTTTAACAGTTAACTTACTAAAAATTTATTAAAGTACTCTCTGGTAAACACACTTTCTTACTTCTACCAAATGCCATCGTAGTACAATATATCATATATATCATGTTAATCTACTTAAACATGTACATTAAGGGAATCTGTTCAATAAGCTAACAGTTTAATTCTCTCTCTCTCTCTCTCTCTCTCTCTCTCTCTCAAACAGGAAAGTAATAAAGACTCGCCTGCTATAGGCCACTACAGGATGACATGAACAATGATAAATGAGCAGAGGAAGACACTGCACTTGGTCAGCTAGTGCAGGGTTTCCAGCCTCCCAAATACAGGACAAAAGTGAACTTAAACTGAGCATCTATCTTCTGTTCAGTGAATCTTATATTTGATTGCAGGGTGTCCCAAAAATATGTATACATATTTGAACAGCTGATCACTCACTCAATTTTCACTCCTTTTCAAGTTTAACTGATTTGAAATAATGGGCAAAGCTTTGAACAAAGCAAATTTATCCACTAGACTTTTTTTATAGGGATACATAAAAGATAAAGTTTAAAGTCCAAAACAAGCAACAGTTGATAAATTGAGGACACACAAATACAAACAAAATGATTCTTGATGTTTGCGATTCCTTTGTTTCGCATTATCAGCAATGCCTGACCAGAACCAGTCATCAGTCTGAAAACAGGCATTGACAAAAAACATTATTCACTTCTGTGGATTCTTTTAAATTTTTTTAAATGAACTGTATGTTAATAAATATTCAAAGTATGTACACATTTTTTGGGACACCCTATATATTCTTTGTGTTGGTTGGGTGCTAGAAATTCAACAACCAGGTCCACATAAAAGTCAGAAGCACAGCAGTTCACAACATGGAGGTGGAGTTCACACAGGCATCACTAAGTCAGAAAATAACAAGGCTTTGAGAATCGCTTGAACATAGGCAGATAAGCACTAGTGCTACTATGTAACAAGTCACCAAACCTGTCTTTCTTTCTTACCTCTTCTACATTTGTACTGGATTTTGCACTTGTCTCCAAGAATTTAATCCCATAGTCAATTGCTAACTGAAAGGCAAACAGAAACATTTAATATAGTGCAAGTTACTTGAACATATAAAGCATTCATATTTTCTAGGATTTTCAAAGTCCCAAAGGTCTATCTAGTTAAGAACTTTCGTGGTTCTCAGATCTCTTTGCTTCCTTCTGTGTTTGAATTGAGATCTAACTTAATCATCATAAGCAACATGGCACCACTTCCACTCACAATTTAATACAGTACTTCTCTTTTTTCCTATTACACTTTTAGTTCTCTATACTTACAAGAAAAACTATGACACTCACCCCCTACCATTAATTTGGGATTCATTCACCCCTTTTATCTGTTCTGAAAGTACAATTCTCTAACAGTGACTATACTGATTTTTCATTATTTTTTAAAATAAATTGGCGCTTAACAGAAAAGCTTAAAATGCTAAGTATCCATTGCTTTGGTTTCTATTGATTGTGACAAATGTGAACTCTTCCATATTTCCATCTACTCCCAAAGAGTTCCCAGTTCATTTATAACAACAAAATTAAGAGAATGTTTTTAGGTAAAAAAAAGTTTCAGTTTGAAAACACACACACACACACACACACACACACACACACACACACACACACACACACACGGCTATAACAAAATTACCAGACTTAAAAACTGAAGCTTCTACATCAATTTAGAAAATGTCACAGAAGTAAACTTGTACATATAATAAACTCCTTTGTTTTGCATGACACAAAACAGAGAAATGCCTATAAATGATTAATAAATGACATCCACAGCTTGATGAGTTATAAGGAGTTAATCATAATGACCTAAATTTAATGTGTAGTACAATATTCTTTAAAAAATGAATTAGAGAATGATTACTGTTGAACTTCACCTATCCTATTAATTTTTTCCAAAGGGAATAAATTACTTTAACTTATGGACATGGAAGAAATAGCCTGAACTTTAAGCTGCAGGAATCTGAAAAAGAACCAATTTGTATCTCCCAGAAAAGAGCAAATGACTACACAGTATATAGAGTTGGATCTCGAATACTAATTCGTACCATTCAGGTATAGATTATATCTCTTTGTTGTTTTTAAAGGATTAAAATATAGATATTTTAAACACCTAAATCAATAATTATACTAGGAAAATAAATGCTTAATGTGAGTAGATTTGAATCTTTATGCATTCAGTTCAAATTTACCTTCTCCCCTCTTTCTTTTGACACTTGTCTTTTGTCATTCATATCGCATTTGTTACCCAAGATCATTCTTTCCACGTCTAAAGAGGCATGCTGTAGGAAGGAAACAGAAGGTTACAAAAACAGCCTGAAAAAGACAGTTATTCAATAGACAAATCCTAACCTATTAGAAACATACCCATGAATTTAATAATTAGGCTAATCACCTTTCACTGGACACAAGACATGATTCAGAGCAAATTTTAAAAGATGGGAGGGGGAAAGCTACAGTAAAAAAGGCTATGCAAACTTTCTTCCCAAAGGCTCACAGTCATTCTCATGTCTTTTGGTACATGAACAAACAGAAATAAAACTTATGGTTATGTAACAACAAAACTTCCAAATATTAGTTTGGATCAAAGAAGAGAAAAAACTTGGTCCTGAGTGAGCCAATGGAGAAGGTATTCTGGATTCTGAATTACTTAAAAAATAAATTCATGTAGGTTAATATAATTGTGTACAAAATTATTTCTGAGTCAGGTTTCTTTTTGAAATATAAAAAATATAATATCTTAATGCTAACCAATCTAGAATTAAACCAAACTTCAAATATCAAAGATGGAGAAAATGTTAGAAGGGCAAAACGATAAGTTGCTGGAATAAAGATATACTTTTGCCAGTCAATCAGATGATGAACCAGATAGAACCCAGGAATCAGATGTTTTAATCCTGCTCTCCTTTATAAAGGCTGTATTAGCATAAGCAAGTCACTTCTTTCTGGCCTCAGTTTTCTCTTGTGTAAAATGGGGACTCGGATTAAATTACTTCTAATATCTGGCCCAAGTTTAAAATTCTGTGAAACTGCTCCACCGTCTGCCTCCATCCCCCATCCAGATCCAGCAGGGCAGTCAGACTGCAGGTGGAGATCTCGCCCTCCATGGCACGCTAAGCGAGCGCCTGCCCTGCCCATGCCCTACTTCTTAGCAGCTCAACTGCCTCTTCCTGAGACAGGCGGCCTTTATAAGCACCCAGCAGGTATCATCATTCCAGTATCATCATGATGATCTCCAGTATCACCATTCTCTTTCCATATATACCTCTTCAATGTTTCTTATCCAATTTTTAATATTGTCGAAGGACTTTTCATTTGTGATGTCATAGACCAGCATGATTCCCTATAGGAGAAAAACAGATCTTTATTTAGCACAGTATGTATTTAAAGTTATAAAATATAATGTAAGTGTACTCCGTCCCTCCAGAAAGCTTTTGTTTGTGGCTTTTTTGGTCTTTATAAAATACTTTATAATATTTTAAAGTATGGCGAAGCAAAAATAAATAAATAAATTCTCCCATTGCCTCACCAGGTAATTAAATACTCTGTTAACATTTTCACTGTTAACCTTTAATGAATTAGTGATTATGGTGAAGATGATACACCCTTTCCACCTGACTACTTATGATAAGAATCGGCACTAAACTGGAGCTGAGAGAGTGTTTAAGTTAAAACAGAGACAGCACTGAGAGGAAGAGGAAATCACTTCTGTTGTGCACTTTTTTATTCAAGTAGAAATTGCCTTGCTTCTTACTCCTATGCTAAGATTGTAACCATACCACTTTAAAATTATGTCTTTTTATATAGGCTGATCAAAATGTCACTATCTGCCGAAATAAATCACAGGCATTTAAAATATAATACATTTGTTATGCAAGTTTAATGAAAGGCATTGTCATCATATTTTTAAAGACCCCATGGCTGGTGTTTCTAAGGAGTTTATCTTCTAAGTGTTTCAACTGATACCTGTATACTAATATTCCAAAATCTATATCACAGACCACACTTCTGTATAAAGTGCTAGATCCACCCACCCATTCACCCATTCACCAAATATTTAGTAGATATCTACTATGTGCCTGATACTACACTAAGTATTACCAACAGTGAACAAGATAGACAAGGCCTCCTCTGCTCATGAAAACAATAAACCAATAATTATGCAATTAATTATAATTTTGATCATTGCTAGGAAGTACTAGGAGCTCAGTACAAATGCTAATCTAATCTGGTTGATGGGCTGAGGTGGTTAGGGAAGGCTTCCCTGAGAAAATGACATTAAAGACAAGTACTGAGGACTGAGTAGACCTGGACTGGGCAAAGGTGTGAGGCTGGGGTGGAGAGGTACCTGGCACATAGGAGAAACGTTATTAATGTCTTGCTGACCAGGAAGGCCCAGAACCCACTGGACTGAGTGAAAGAAAGTCAGTTTGGCAAAAGTGCGCAGATCCCATTGGAGAAGAGCATAAACATGTGGCCAAAGAGATAGACAAATGGGGTCAGATGTGACTTGGAGACAACTAATTGGGCATCATTTCCCAGATGTCCTCTGTGGTCACTGAAAACTCAACTAAGTAAAACACGAGGTTGTCTTTGTCCCCTCCAAACTTTCCCTCCCTTCTTGTGCTCTCGTTTTGATGAAGGGCGACACAATCCCGCCAGCCAGCCCAAGCGGGCCCCTGCGAGTACTCTCCTTCACAGTCAGCCGGTCCTGCAGGCCCAACAACCTCAACGGTTCCCGAGTATGACACCCCTGCCTCACACACATGAATGGCATTTATTATATTCTCAGCAATTAGCTTTTACCTGGATTTCTATCAGAGTCTTTTATTGGTATCTCTGCTTTCATTCTTAACCACCTCTAATCCATTCTCCATAAGGACACTACAGTTATCACTTTATTGAGACCTCTCCACTGGATTCATATTAAATTAAAATTTCTTAACATGGTAGGCAAAGTACTTCAAGTCTGGTTTCCAACTTGATAAATAAATATAAAAATAAATCATATAAAACACACATATACACAAAGATAAAAGAACCCAGGAAACAATGAAATTTTAACAGAAGCTATCTCAGGGAGGTGAAATTTTGGATAATTTCTTGGGATTTTCAAAGTTTCCTTTACTACATGTAACCTTTTGATAACCAGAAAAATATGTATATTGTTTAAATGGCAAAAAGTAATATCCTCTACCCTCCCTCCTCCCAGCCTGGAATGCAAATATTTCACTTGGCTACACAGTAAAGGAGATTTTATAATTGTTAATGTAAATAATTTTTTAAAAAATCAAAGTGGAGAATTATATACTTAAATGGTTAATTTTGTTATGTATATTTTACCACAATAAAAAAGAAAACCTCAAAATGGAACAGAATAATTCCTGATTCAAAGTATTCAGCTGCCTATAATATTAACATTAACCAAATAATTGCCATCACTCTAAGACCCTTTGGGCTATATGGGCAACCTTGATCTTCACTGTCTGTCTGTCAGTGGCACTCTAGAGGGCTAGCACGGGAAGCGTGAACACAGTGTAGTGGTTAAAGAAACAGGCTCTGGTCAGAGGCATCTCCTCAGAGATCCTAGAGACGTTATTTTATCCCTCAGTCTCCATTTCTCATTTGTAAAATGAGGACAGCATGTTTTCCAGGCTGGATTCTTTTGCGTATCTACTGAGATATTATGTATAAAGTACTTAACCTAGAACCCAGGACACAGTGTGGACTCAGTAAATGACAGCTAGCTATTTTTAGTTTATATCTTTGGTTTCAATAGCAGAAACCCTTTTTGGCTATTTCTTATGTAAGCAAACTGGCATTATGAATCAGTTGGAAATACAAACTCAAATGTACTAGTTAAAACTTTATATATCTGATATCCTATATAATAAAGGCCTAATATGCAAATTGTCCGCTCAGGCAGTTGTTTGACTGAAAGACAGGGAGTTCTACTGCTCGCTATGACGTGTGCTGACCACCAGGGGGCAGCGTGGAACATGGCGAGCGTAGGCAACGCTGCGCAGGCAGTGGGTGGCAATGGAGGTGCTGCAGGCCCTGATGGGCCCCAACAAGAGAGAGCGAGACCACAGCGGGATGGTGGAGCAGGTGAACAGGGGCCCCATCGACCTATCGATCACCCCGCAGACGGTGACCAGTGGCACTGACAGAGCCGGGTGGGGGGTCCCCCTGGCCCTGACTGATTGCCCTGCAGGCAGGATGGTGGAGCAGGTGAAGGGGCGGCGCCAGGCCATGGCGAGGTGCCAGGCAGGGCTGCAGGGCTGCAAGGCTGGGGGCAGGAGCTGGGGCTGCAAGCCCGATCCCTGCAGGCCACCCCGAGGGACCCCACCTGTGCATGAATTTAATCCCCGCAGGCCACCCCGAGGGACACCACCTGTGCATGAATTTGTGCACCGGGCCTCTAGTATAACTATAATAACAACAATTTCCTTAAGTCCTTAAGACAGTGTTCGTCTATGAGAAGTACTGATAATGCAATAATATGGTTCTTTTCTCCAAAAGTCCAATTGTCCATCAGGGCTACTGCTATGCCTACAAATGTTGCTGAATAGTTTGAAATAGACAAAAAGGCTCTGTGATGGTGGTGGATTCCAATGCAGTGCTTATCAACATGCTGCATACCTAAACCAACCACAATAGACCTGCCAGGACCACCACTAGCTGAAATAAGAACATGCCCCCACAGGAACATGATGGCCCCACATGCCACTGCAACAGATGACCTACAAGATCCAGGACTCAGCACAGCAGGATTCCCCAAAGATTTATCTAACATTGTTTCTGGTCTGAAATTTCCCACTGATTCACCCCTTCAGCACGTATTTACTGAGCATCTACTATGTTTCAGGCACTGGCATTACAGCAGAACAAAAGAGACAAAAATCCCTACCTTCAAAAAATGGATAGCAATACTATCTGAGAATAGCAACAATTTCTAATTATCTGAATAATGTGAAGAAAGACTAGGCAGTAGACAAATGAAAAAGCCAGGCAATTCTCAAATCTAAATTAAATAATGCACTTCAATGCCCTCTTTCCTCATACCATGAACTAGAGTTAGACATCCAAGGAAACACGCTCCACACTCCAAGAGTTCCTGCCCACTCTCTAGTGAAAACAAACAGGCAAGTGGTATCAATACATCACTGATGGAAAATAACAAACTGGCTAATAGAAAAGCTTGTATGTATAATCAAAATTACCTGTAAACTATTCTAAATCATCCCTGCTAAAATGTTCTTATTTATTCCTAAAATTCTTCCTGGGGAAAACAAACAACAAACAAACAAACTTCTTCCTGGCAGGACAAGGTAAGTCCCTTCCCTTTGATTATAATCTAAGCAAAATAGAGAGTAGCTGACAACTCTTTCTTAAAATGATGACCTTTCATAATCATCAAAGTGTGAGGAGCACATACATATAAAGTGCTTACTGGTGTGTAGTGTCAAGGTGATAAAGCTTTGAAAAGGAATCCCCAATATTTCTGTGGGGATGAATTACTGGTACTCAAATAGAGGGTGAGTAGCAGTGGAGGAGGAATGGAGGGCAGCATGATGATAAAGGGATCTGTGGATTCAGATCACATCTTCCTGAAAAAGGGGACAGCTCTCGCCCCTACAGCTGTCACCCTGACACTACTCCCAGGAACACAAGTCTTTTAGACAATGAGCTGGATGATGGCAGCTGGTACCCCACAGTCTGTCTAGGTCAGTGATGGCGAACCTTTTGAGCTCCGCGTGTCAGCATTTTGAAAAACCCTAACTTAACTCTGGTGCCGTGTCACATATAGAAATTTTTTGATATTTGCAACCATAGTAAAACAAAGACTTATATTTTTGATATTTATTTTATATATTTAAATGCCATTTAACAAAGAAAAATCAACCAAAAAAATGAGTTCGCGTGTCACCTCTGACACGCGTGTCATAGGTTCGCCATCACTGGTCTAGGTTGAGCTTCATGAACTCAATTACTCAGCCCTCTAAGACTCTCTGAGGACATTGAGTTTCAGCAAAATTCAAAGCTCCAACTAGTACTTGGATTAGGCCTGAAAGCCAGAGAGGAAGCCTTGGTCTGGGCCTGACATTCTAGGCATGGTTCAGTACAGCTCTGCTTCTAAGCTGCCTTATTCACCACTGTACTCCCAGCAACACACAGAATCTGCTCTGAGCCAACAAGCAATATAACTGGGTTGTATAGATGAGGCCTTTAGGATGGAAATTAGCCAAGGGGTGAGGTTATGATAACAAGGATAAGGCTACTATGTAGCAAAAGAAGGACTTGGTAGTTAAGATTCATCAGATTCTAAATCTCAAAGAGTCACATATCATTCAGCTACTTCCTGGCCAGCTGGCAAAACACTGGTGGAGGAGCATCCAGAGAGCTGAGCCATTAGGAGTGGGTGAAGGGACCTGGTGAGAGGTAAGGAATGATGGGGCAAAGCTGAATGATGAGAGGGTGCAAGCAATGAATACTTAGTCACAAAGCTTGTGGTTTGCTAAGATGTGGCAAAGGTAATAATAAAAGGAAAAATCACAAAAACATACAATCACTCAGGATGTTTGTACGAGTTCTAAAACACCTACAAGCCAATTACCTAATAATATTATAAAGACTAATGGCAAACTATATAGTTACTAAACAGAAAACATTTTATTTTCACATCAAAAAATCTATTTTCCGCCCTGGCTGGTTTGGCTCAGTGGATAGAGCATCTGCCTGTGGACCAAGAGGTCCTGGGTTTGATTCTGGTCTAGGGCACATGCCCAGGTTGCGGGCTTGATCCCCAGTAGGGGGCGTGCAGGAGGCAGCCAATAGATAATTCTCATTGTTGATGTTTCTCTCTCTCTCCCTCTCCCTTTCTCTGAAATCAATAAAAATATATTTTAAAAAACAATATGTTCCCCCTGTACTAGACTTTAGCTTGAATCCTATAAACTTGACAAATGAATATTCATGTTTTACTTTCCCCTGAAGAGTTGCAAAATCCCCAAACACTCACCATGGCTCCTCTATAGTATGCTGTCGTGATGGTTCGAAATCTTTCCTGACCTGCTGTGTCCCTAAAATTTTAAACAAAGGAGAGAGCAATTTTAAAAGACATCACCAGCAACACTGAGGAGAGATCATTCTGGTCTGCTCACAAATGCAGTGGTTTCAGGGGAGGGGAATAAGATACAAAGGGAGCCTGTGTGTGTCTGTGAGCTGGAGGCGGTGGTGGCCACGGGAGCCTGTCAAGAGCTCACAATGACTTGTGTGAAAAACTTGGACTTTGATGATAAAAGCAGCAACAGGGAAATCCATGGCCTGCTAGGAACCGGCATGCTGAATTAGTCAAATACATATTGGGGGAGAACAGAATAGTTCTAAATTCTTGGACTCCTAGAGGTAGTTATAATCGTTTTAATAAATGCCTAATGATTATGGCATTTTGCTCTCTTGAGTGAAAGTCTGATTTCTGTACAAAGAAAGCAACTGGGCTGGACTTATTACTGTGTAAGTTCTGCTTAGCCAAGAACACTAAAATGGGTCTCCTCGAGAACTTTCTCAGCCATGGAGCCCGTAATTAAACGGGAACCTGGAGTTTAACACATAATGGTTGACAATGTTTCCAAAGACTTTCCAATACGAACAACACTGCAAAGTTACATGAGCTTTCATATATTCTTGCTTTTTAGCTGATGGCGTACCATTAGAATACATTCTAAAAAACACAAATGTTTCCAATTACATTTATTGAAGTAAGTCCCTGTAAAGCAGATCAAATTTACTTGATATCTGGGAAAATCAATATTCCTAAATTTGCTACTTACCAGCAGAACTAATTCACTCCTGTGCTACTAAGACAAACTAAATTGTACAATTTAACTGTAGGGAAGAAAGAGGCACTTGTGAAAATATACTAGAAATCTAATGCATACCAAACCCAAACAAGAGATGAAGGCCCAAGGGAAATATAATAAATTAAAAACATTAATAAATCCCTTAATAATAAATCCCTTAATATTTATGTAAACCTTAGAAGATAGTCTCAGATGATGCCCACCACAGCCCAGTGTGTGTTATTATCAGCATCCTTATTCTGCAGTAGAGGAAATGGGCTGGGGTGGGCTGTGGTCCCAGTTCTGCCACTAACCAGCTCATACCCTTGAATGAGACTCAAGCCACCTACATCTTGGCTGTTTAGCGCAGGGCCAAGCCTCACCTCAGTCACCTTACCCAACCCTTCTGTCACTGATCAGGATTAGCTATACAAGGCACTTATTTGGCACATGGCAAAGAAGTCATGGAGAAAATACAAGCCAAGCACCTTTAAGCAGACCAACATATTATTGATTCTAACACACTACTTGATTTAGAAACAGCTCTGCAGTGAGGCTGGAGGGGAAACCCTTCCATATTAAGTGCAGGCTGTGAAGACTAGATAGAGACCATTTGCTGCTGAGAGCACCCATAAGCAGTGCCCTGCTGTTATATTAAACTCTAATTAGCTGATCACCCACAGGCGCCTAGAAACACTCCCTATTGTTATGATCAGGACATAAGCACAGAATCAGAAATTCTCTTTACTTTCTCCCTAAAACACTGTTTTATATCTTTAAAATATTTGGCTTCTTACTAAATACCAATAGATGAAAAGGGTAGCCTGTGGTAACCTTCACAATGTTTTCCAGTGACAGATACTGGGAACGACTATGCTAATATATAAAACTGACACGATGCTCCGGGAGATTTGGGTTGTCGTCAGAGCTTTATCACTAACTACTCTAAATCCTAGTTTCCTCCTTTGTAAAAGAGGTGCTAGTATACTTCAATACAATGTTCTCATTCTATTCCCATCCTGAGATTCAAGGAAGAAAATCAGCCTAAAAAATAAGTTCATATACAGTGGGGCCTTGACTTACGAGTGTCCTGACTAACGAGTTTTTTGAGATACCAGCTGTCTCTCGGCAGATTTTTTGCATTGAGTTGACAGAGTAATCTGAGTTAACGAGCTCCTTAACGAGCTCGGTCTCAGAACAAATTAAACTCGTAAGTCAAGGCCCCACTGTATATCACTTTACTATTTTACCCTGTATAGTCTGTGGAGCTCTCAATTTCTAAGCTATGTCTGCTACTGTCATCATCACACATTAGACCAGTACATATCAAAAACCTTTCCCAAGGCTCCAATTCTATATGGCTCACCATGGAAGGCCCTGCACTGAAAGAAATTAAACCAGCTTATAGGAGGTTAAAAAAATAAATCTATGAGTTTCTGAGTTCAAGTAAAAAATATTCAACCTGGCAATCTGGAAGAACCATATTTATTCACTGCAGTTTGACAGATGCTTCAGGAATGAACCAGTCAGATTTGGGTGGTCTTAAGGAGATCTTTGCCTTGCATATTGCAACATGAGAGATCAGAAGTATGACTTTTTTCTCCCTATTGCTAGTCTAGTGTTCCTCATTTTTTTTTATTTAATGAGAAGACATATACAAATAAACGATAAAATATCAGAGCTGGAGGGGAACTCAGATATCATCCGTTTAATCAATCAGTTTACAAATGAAGAAAAGTAGGCTCTAAGAAGGGAAGCAACTGGCTCCACGTCCTCAATTTAGAGGTAGTCCTGGCAAGAACCTAGATCTGCACTTCCTGTTTAGGGTTCCTACCACTTGACTACTAAGCCTTATCTGATTTCACAGCTGCAACAACTACAGTGAAATAGTAACATACACTCTAGAATTTAGTTTCCTCCCCGATAAAATTAGCATTTGGGAAGAATGAGCTCTCAGATCTCTTCTGGCTGTGAGTTGGTGAGGATACCATTCCTTACCTGCCCACTCTTGGTGGAGAGACCTGTGAATGCTTACCCATTTCCCATTGGTTCTGACAAAGAAAAGATGTTTCAGCTATCACAGAATAGCTCTAAATTATCACAATGCACATTTAATTCCCACATTCAATTCCTAACTAAAGTAGAAACTCTTATGTGTGTATATATTATATATATATTTACTTACCATATCTGAAGCTTAATTTTCTTTCCATCAAGTTCTATCGTTCTGATTTTAAAATCAATTCCTGCCAGAAAAAGAAAGACATGCTAAATTTCTTCAAATGAAATGTAATCCAAGTCTTATTAGAAAAAGAACAAAGATTTCTATTGGAAAAAAAAAAATCTCCAACGCCCTGGAAAATGTGAACACAGAAGAGGGTGTGAATGGTATGTCTGCTCTGAATCCAGGCTGAAGAAAGGAATTACTCTGCAAAGAATTCCTACACATGTTAAATGCAATGTTTTATGTGTCATTATTTTGACATAAATGGATGACATCCCTCAAAGCTACATAGTTTGGATAGATTGAGAACATGCCATATTTTCTACTTCCTGAAATACATATAAACAATGCTTCCTACCCTCCAGCCCCCTATGCTTGGTCTGTCCCTAAAGCCATGGGACCTCTTCACAATGTCTTCCTCATCTCCTCCTCCAGTTGTTTCTTTAGAATCTGCAACTGGCTAAGCAAAAAGCAAAACAAAAAAAACCCAAAACAAACAAACAAAAACCCTGTCTATTTGAGGGCAGGGATGGGAAAGCCTGAATATTTATTTTATACAGTTAAGAAGTATTTTACATACATTTTAATAAATGTTCCCCGCATCTTACTGGCTAGAGCTGAAATAACTAAAATAGTTTTAGCCCTGGCTGCACTTTAGAATTACTTGGGAAACTTTAAAAGTTAACAACAAAAACCCCTTATAACTAGGCCTGCTCCCTTCCTCAGATTCTGAGATTCTGACTTAAATGGCCAAAGGTAAGGTCTGTGCACTAATAATTTTCAAAGCTCTCTAGGTAATTAATTCTAATATGAAGCCAAACTTAAAAAGCACTCAACTGAGCCTGCCAGGTAGCATGAGAAAGTCATTTGGGGCTCAGGTGGTCACTCCAAGTTCAACCCCTCCCTCACCTATTTCTTCCCCACTATGGCGGCTCAATACTTATTTAGCAGTTTCAACTACAAAGCACCACAAAGTCCTGGACAATTATCAGCATGCTCTGTCAGGAACAAGCTGCCACTCTTTCTCTAATGGGACCTGTTAGTGAATACAACTCGGTTGCAGTTTGCTAAATCTTCATCATCTGGCTACTCAAGCTTTATTTTAAAATTTTCTATTCTTTTGCATTCTATACAGAACCCTGGAAATCGGTTTCCAAGGCATTTAAAAAACACACATGTCAATTATGTATCCTCTACATTGACTTAAGCATTAACTGTAGTTATCTATGGGGTGGGGAGAGCCTTCAATGGCTATGCTACACAACATTTCTATATATCAACATTGTGAACACCCCAAAAGGCCGCTTGCCAGCTCCAGCTTCATATAAAACCCAAGTGGGTTTTCCCCTTCTTCTTTGTGTGGCACTTTCCCCCCGGGACCCTTTTTAGGTACTTTTGTGGATCTTGAAATAGACAACTATCACACCCCAGCTAATCTAGTAGGGCAGTATCTCAATATTCGTTCCCTCACTAATAACCACCGCTACTGTTAGCAAGGACAATCTGAGACCCAGTATCCCAGGTTATCTGGCTCATGTCTCCTCCAGGTACCTCGCTATTGCAGGGTCAGCAGCGGCAGGGGCAACACTTAGCAAAACCGTATAGATATTATTGTTAGCATCACACAGATTTTACTGTGGCCCTCACTCATTTACGATTTAATATGCACTGATTTTTATTGTGATTTATCTTTTTACACATCTCTGAGTCCAGTGTAACAAAGGCCCTCGAGGAATTCTCAGCTATCCTTTATGGTTTTTTGGTCCAGACATTAAGAACAGTGCCTAACAGGTATTCAATTAATGTTTCTTGATATTAACATTTATAAAATTCATAATTTTCCAAATTCATAGAAACAGAAAATAGGATGGTAGTTCCCCGGGGATGGAGAGAGGGGGGAAAGAGAGTAGTTGTTTAATGGGTATACTGCTTTAAGATTTGCAAAAGATAAAAACTCTCTAAAGACTTGTTTGACAACAATGTGACCATATTTACTGAACTGTACACATACAAATATGGTTAAGATGATAAATTTTATGTGTGTGTGTGTGTGTATGTGTGTGTGTGTGTGTGTTTAAACCATAATAAAAAAGAAGAAAAATCCATGACTTTTAAAATGTAGACTGTATAGCTGTAAAATTAACTTTCTTAATTGGAAGGCTACTATCCAACATTCCATGATTTAATAGTTCATTCACAGTTTACATAAGAGATGATGTATATCAAATGCCTGTCCATATGAATACTTTCCTTATTCTGGCTCATTGAGATTGTAACTCCTGTTCTTCCAATGTTGTTTTTGCCTGTAGTTGGGAGTCATGGGCAACTTTTCCACCTTCATTCAACAAAGCCATTTTGAAGCTCCCTTAAAGTCTCAGTTACTCTCATTCATTTAAAACATTTAGGAAACTTTCTACTGACCTAGCCTTTTGTTTTTTGTATTTGTTAGAAGGATTACCTTTCTGTTATCTGAGGAGGTTTAACCATTATCTGGGAAACTTAACCATCTTTTCACTATTCAGCTGTTTTCAATGTTTGTAAGAGTTGTGAACTGGTATTTAGCTTTTGTTTGTGCGCCTGTTGGGAGCCAGTTGATAGACAAATGCTGTAGAGCACAGTCAAATTAACACAACTTGAATTTCACTAAAAATGGAAAATGTTGTTTATATTATTATTGAAAAGCACAGAACCTGGAAGTTAAAAGACCCAGACTGTCTGTTAGGGCCTGTCATTAACAACTTTTCGGAGGTTGATTAATTGCTCTGAATCTCTATATCCTCCTCATCCTTAAAAAAGATGGAGAGGATCTAACAGGTAAATTAGATAACGTGTATGATTGTGCTGTGGGGACTCTGAAACTCCATATAAATGTAAGGTATTACACATCCAGATTCTATTATCCTGCAGATCATGTCACATCACGCAAGGATTATAATAGCTTCCCAGGACGCTGTGCCCACCTCTCTCCCTGGTCTCATTCCCCTGCCCAACACCGTGAGAATAACGTTCAGCAATCCCTGAGGTAATGCCACCTCACTATTTAAGGGGCTATGGATCCAACTTCCAGCTCCCTCAGTCTGGCAACACAGCCTCTTCCACTGGATACACCGCTCTCCCGACACTACCTCCGCCGCTCTCCCTTGGGCCAGTGTTCCTCGCAGGGGCCTGCACCTGTCCTCCCCTCTGCGTGTGCGTGGCCACCTCACTGGGCAGCCTTCTCTGAGGATGCCTCTCCACCCATGCAGTTCTTCTCTCCCTCCCTCCTTCCTCAGCTGTCTACTCAGCCATGTCCATCGCTTCTCCCAGGCCTGCCTTTGGCCTGTAATTCAATCCGGTGTTATCTGGCTTATTAACATATTGCTCTGAATTGGTCTCACATCAAGCAAGAGCTCCATCCTCTCTGCCAGTCAGGCTGCACACAGAAACATGTACACAGTAGATACTAAGTGAAAGGTTAATATGCTTACAACATCGCATAAAGGTTAAATGCTACTACACGTGGAGAGGGCTAGGAAAACCATGGAAGTCCAACGTGTTCTTAGTTTACTACGTAACAAGAGTACGGATGCTGAGAAATCTTATTACAGTAAAAAAATGAAGATCTTTATATTGCACTTAATTTGACAACAATATCAGTAGAATATATAGTAGATTAATAATCACTTTACTTTTTAAAGGAAAAATAACTTTCTGAGGCTACTCCAAGATTAAAAGAATAACCACTTATAAGAAGAATAAGACAATTATATCAATTAGGATGCTTTCTGCTGCAACAGAAACCGCAAATCAAACTATCTTAAAGTAATTTGTTGACTCATACAACATGCCCAGTGGTGAGTTGGGGTTTGGAGGTGGCTCAGTCCAGTAGTTCCGGCTCATTTCTCTGCATCTCCTTTGACTCTGCCCTCCTGGGAGTATCAGTTGCATCCTCTGACTGATAGCAGTTCCTGACCACAACAGCAATACCAAGAAGAAAAGAGATCATCTTCCTGTGTCTCTTTCTTAAAAGTGAAGAACTGTTTCCCCAAAGCCTCCAGCGACCTTTCCTTCAAGTCTCATTGTTGGATTTATAACCAGATTTATAACCACGGGCATGTCATGTTCTGGGGACTAAGGCTGAGTTCCTGAACCAATCACTGCCTAGTCAGTTAGCAAGATTCAATTAATCAAAACCTATCCTAAATTTAGATTAATCAAGTCCCATTCCCCAGAGCTGGGTCACTCCTCCAGATCCACAGGCTACTAAAATTAGGAGAGCAGAAAAGATGTTGAATCAATCATAATATCTGTTAGACTAATACTCAAATCTATCTAATTAATACAACTTCATATTCATAGCCATATGAAACAGACAAATCATAACAGCTATCCTTACTACCCTACCATGAAGGTCATTAAATTTCGTGATAACTAGAGTACTTCTTGGAAGGAAATTTCGCCTAGTCTTCAGCCACCAAGCAGGAAATATGAAGATAAAAAAAGGACAATGAGCAACCCAAATAGCGAAGACGACATCTCTGTGGTTAAACTGTGATCACTCCCAGGAGAGCCCTTGAGCCCACAGTCCCAAAGGCCTGGCTTGTGCTCCAGCCCCAAATGATTAGACTGCAAAGGAGGGGCTGTCATATCAACAGCAGCAAGAGCTACATTACAGCCTATCCTGCAGTAAGAGAGTGCCTTTTTTTTTCCCATTTAAAAGGACTATATAACTCAAAAAACATAGCTTTGAAGGGCATTACATTTTGGGTCAAAATGCCCTTCCGTTCTCGATCGCCTTTTAGAAAGCATCACTGTCTTTTGGCAGCATATCATACAATAATTCATGTTCAAAATCATGACCCTGAGTCATCCCAACTCATGAACAATCCATGAGCCGCCAGGCTGCATGCAGCCTTCCCAGCTAGCCACACAGCCCCACATCTACATTCTGGAGACAAGACTCCAACGTTGCTCCCATGTTTCTGAATGTGCCCTGTTGTTAATTTTTTTATGGCTGAAAGCAGCAGTGCCAGTTTTCTCATT